GAGTTTATGGTTTAGGGTTTTAGGGTTTAGGGGTTAGGGGTTTAGGGTTTAGGATTTAGGGTTTAGGGTTGCAATCCCTAGGCACCCCCCTAATTCCTAAACCCCAGAGTCCCCAATCCCAAACACCTGAATCCTAAACCCTAAACCCCTAAACCCCAAAACCCTAAACCCATGAACTTGAGCCTGGAACTTCCTGCCCCTGGAAAAGTCTAGCAGGCTGTTTCCCAAAGCTCTCTTCAAACTCCTAGATTGACTTTGTTGGCCTTTGCAACCCTTTGAAGAATATTCATATAGGGTCCTTATGAAACCAATAAGGGTAATATTTAAGTATCCCAAAGGCCAACTGAGGTGATATCCCTGTAAACATTATAGAAGCCCAGTTTGCATTTTATCGTTTTTTCTCTTCTGTTGATTCTCCATCTAGCACCGAAATCCTAAACCCTAAATTGTTCTTCAATGTGCTTCTCCATTCTCGGGGGTAATATTCTAAAACTGACAACATAGTCCCAACATACCTCTGTATATGCGCTAGAGGAACCCTGTATAATCCGCCCCCATGTTCTTCTAGACCCGAAACCCTAAACCCCGAAACCCTAAACCTCTAAACCTCTCAACCTCTCAACCCCTAGACACCTAAACCCAAATCCTATACCCTAAACCCCTAAACCCTATACCCTAAACCCCAAACACTACACTCCTGGAAACTAACATGGAAACCCAAAAAGGGCCCTGTAAAGACTACAGTCCTTTTAAAAGGGGACTATATGGATTTCCATGTTAGTTTGGGGGAGTGTAAACCCTAAACCCCTAAACCCTAAACCCTAAACCCCTAAACCCTATACCCTATACCCCTAAACCCCAAACACTAAACCCTGGCCTGCAGTTTCATGTCCAGGGTAGTGGGCTGCAGCAGCAGCCACCGGATGCTTGTGTTGGCCTCACGGAGGACGCTCACCAACTGCGGGGCCTTGCTTGAGACCTGGCTGCTCTTGTCTGTTCAGGCTTACGTTATCGGAATTATATATGGGGTTTAGGGACATATGCCCGAAACAACAGAAAACTAATAGAAAAAAGAATGGACAACAAAATGGAAACTATTGTGTTTATATGTGTATATAAATATATATATATACATATGCATGTATATATATATATACATATATATATATACATACATATAGGTGTAACGCCTTGGGATGTGAAGTGTAGGGTTCAGGGCCTGGGCCTGAATTTCGATGGACAAATTGATAGACTCCCACCCTCATCCCCTAAACGCGGAATTATGATAGGTTTAAGTTTTAGGCTCTAGGATTTAGGGTTTAGGGCGGGACCCTCTCATACAGATCCGAACTTCTGTGGTGAAAACGCTTAAACAATGTCAACCGAGTTTGGAGATATGTTGTACTATAGCTATGTTGGCTGTAGCGGACTGATATTGGTAACTAATCAAGCTTCTACGTCCAGTTTGGTTTTTTCGGGTCTTGTCGACAACACCAAAAATCATATTTTCAATGGCTGCCTTTGTTTCAGAGTAGCATGGAGTTTCATTGCCAAACAGAGTCAGGACTTAGAACCTAACTTCCCAAGTACTAAGCCCTAATCCTCAAGCACAAAAGCATGTTCAGCAATCGTCCAGGACACATAGTCTTCTGTCAGGACACCTTCTACCAAGTACTCCCCCAGCTTCGACCTTGGGGAATCCAGACGGCCAAAAAAACGGTTTAGGGTCTAGACATGCAAGGTCTAAGGCCTAGGCATAGATCTTGTTTAGGCTCTAGGAACCCTAAATACGTGTCCTGCTTTGGGGTTAGCAAGGGATTCGCAGGGGTTATGAGGAGAACAGCTCTTCCTGGGATTGTATAGGAATTTTTTGGTTTGTCTAGATAGCATCTAAGAACATGAGAGGGCATTTACGCGACTTATCAGAATTAAAGGTCTTTGTTGGATGCGGAAGAGCGTTTTTTCGGGATCCCGTAGGTTCTCACCAGGACCACTTACAGGGCAGTTCCAGGGGTTCTGCACTAGCTTAGGGTGGAGTGTTCTTTCCCTAAATCCTTCCCATTTTGTGTACTCTACATCCTAGTCCCCCCCACGCACTTAACAAAGAGCCGCTTGAGAATCCTCACGCTAAAGTCGGGATGCACTTCCTCTTCCTGTAGGACAAATCCAAATCCTGTTGAATAAGTGTGTAGGTTTTAAGGTTTTCGGGTCATGCCAGTATCAGGGAACAACTATAGAGATCCAGAGTATGGTCAGATGCAAAATCTAGGCAACCGGTCTTGCCCTGATCTTGTGAAATCCCATTGTAGGGTCAGGTTTATTTACACGAAGATTCCTAAGGACCCTACATACACATACCAAAACAAACCCCACCTCATGTGATAGTTGTTCTACGTACCTATCCCCCAAATCGCCGTAAGATTAGGCTCCCTTCTGGTGGTAGTACGCCCTTGACGCAAAATTATTCCCAATGGTCCCCCTTGCTTGAGAACAACCCCACCGCTTTCTTATCGATCACGATATGATTCCAGTGATCAGTTATGTTCTACGTTCTACGTGTTCCATTTCATTCTCCATTGTCCCGGTCCAAAACCCTAAACCCTGCCCTGCACCGTGTCCATTTCATGTTCCGTGTGCTTGTCCATCTGGTTCTCCAGTGATGGATGGAGGTAATATCCTTAAACCCAATACGTAATCCCTGCATGAACCCAATACAACCCTTTATGATCCTTAGACAAACCCTGTAGAATCCCAAAATCTAAGCCCTATAGCGACCCTACTTAGTCCTACACGTCCCCATGCCCCCTAGACCCCAAACCTCAAATCCGAAACCCTAAACTTAGCCCACATTACCCTCAGAAGAAGAAGGATCCTTCTTACATGAATATACGGAACCCATACCCTAAAAAGCATGGAGCGTATGCTTGTCAGATGGCTACCCCCAGCGTTATCGCGTGAGGCAACCACTATACAGACGAATTAGACACAATAACCGTCAGGAAAGTCGGATAGCAGCGGCCACGGTTTGGCATGGGGAAGCTTAGTAGAATACTTCAGGAAAACCCTAAACCCTAGACCCTAAATCCTAAACCCTAAAATTCCCCACCTTGTCTTGGACAAGCGATCCAGGTGCGACTCTTGAAGCTGGCGGACGGTGCCTGTGACACAGACATGGTGCAGGGTTCGGGGTTTAGGATTTATGGTTTAGGGTTCAGGGTTTAGGGCTCAAGGTTTAGGATTTAGCGCCGAGGGTTCAGGGCTGAGGATTTAGGTTTTGGGTTCACGGTTGAGGGTTCGGGGCTTGCTTTAGGGGTTGTATAGAGATATAGATGGGGATTGTATAGGGCTTACACAAGGAATATGTGTATGTAAATATATCTATATATATATATGCTGAGGAAGGGAACAAGATGGCAGGAAGAGGAGGAGGATGAGGAGGAGGAGCTTCAGTAGATCTAAAACCCAAGCAAGAAACAAAGGCACGGCTGGCTGAGGAAGTCCTGTTGGGTACCGGTCAGTGGCGCGAAGCTTGGGGAAATCGAATGGCACCTCCACTCCACCCCCCCACCTCAGTTCGTTGAGGTGCGTTGATGTGTGCGAAAGTTCCGTGCCCCAAAATAAGTACTGGATGCAAACGCTTGTTTGCCTTTGAGTGGCCTGTATGCGACCTGGCCAGTTTACCGCAAGATCTCGAACAACACTAAACTTAGGGACCCTAAACCCCTAACCCCAGTGGATCCCAGGCACCCTTCAAGAATTCCAGAAAGCAAAAACATCGACCATGAAAAAGCTAAGTCTAGATCTCAAACTTGGATTCATCAGGCCAAGTCCAAATTAATCATCTCCTTCCCTAAGCCCTGAACCCAAGGAGGCCAGGCACTGATTTGTACATAGCCCAGTACCTGATGGGCCTTTAGGGTTTAGATTTAGGGTTTAGAGTTTAGGTTTTAGGGGTTTAGGGGTCTAGGGTCTGAGAGTTTTAGGTCTGCTGGTTTTATCCGCAACTTTTGTCGCTGCTTTTTTGGCTCTACAACCCTCCTCTTCTTGAATCCCCTCCTAAACAGGGACCCCGCGTTGTTGCGGGGCGAGGTAGTACAATAGTCAGGATAGTACACGACTCCCTTGTTTGCCTGGCTGTCTCCCCAAGTACCCCCGTATTTTTGGGACACCCTAAACCCTATATAACCCCTATATAACCCCTATAGAATCCCTGTATAACCCCTGTATAATCCCTATATAATCCCTATATAATCCCTGGATAACCCCTATATAGTCCCCAAGTAAGACGCAAGTACGACCCTGGCCTGCTGTTATTGCGTTGCTCAGCGCCTGTCGCGCTGCAGGATACGGTGCCCACATCAGCAGCAGATCGGCAGTGTATCCTGGGGTTCCCTATAGGGTTTAAGGTTTAGGGTTTAGGGTTTAGGCATGATTTAGGGTTTAGGGTTTGGGGATTAGGATGTAGGGTTGAGGGTTTAGGATGTAAGATTTAGGGTTTAGGATTTAGGGTTCAGGGTTTAGGGTGACGGTTGAGGGTTACAGTTATACAGGACTTATATAGAGATTGTACAGGGATCATGTAGGGATTATATAGAGATCATATAGGGATTATGTAGGGAACTATGTAGGCATTATATTGGGAATATATAGGGATTATATAGGGATTATTTAAGGGGTTATACAGGGATACTATAGGGGTACTGGAAAAGAAAAAGGAAACTACTATTTGGGATCTGGGTTGCTGTTAAGGAACTTAGATTAGCTTACCAGCGTGGGTATATATATGTATATATATATGGTAGTTAATATGGCTTCCCCAATATAGTAACTTAAGCTTAGCTCCTTAACCACAGCCCAGTATCCCAAGGCATAGGCGATCACCCAGACATCACCGAAGTGCCGGTCAACGATCTCCCGCATGGCAATGGCATCAGACTCTAAAGTCTTGACCTTGGGATTCTGGGGGTAGAGAAACTGTAAACTACTACAGGGTTTCCCAAAATTAGGGGCACCTTTAGGGGGGGTCCCTATCATAAGGACTATAGTATATTGGGATCTATATTGGGGCCCCCTATTTTGGGAAACTATCATATAGGGATAATGGAAAAGAATATGGCAGGCACTGTTTAAGGTTGAGTGTTTAGGACATCTGGTTTTATAAGTTGAACTTAGAGCCCCAAAAAAGGAAGAAAACTTCCTGGGAAACCCAGTGACTTGGAAGAAGAGGGATACGTAAAGCATCCCTGCTTGGGCGGAGAGACCATGGGAACGATGCTCCGGCAAGGGATAGTGTCCTGGGTTGCTGTTAAGGAACTTAAATTAAGTTACTATAAAGGGACTATATAGTGGTTATAGGGATTATATAGGGATTGTATAAGGGTTAGAAAGGGATAATACAGGGATAGTGGAAAAGAAAATGGAAACTCCTACTTGGGGTTTATGGATCTGGGTTGCTGTTAAGGAACATAAATCAAGCTGCCATAATGGAGATACATACTGAATGAAAGGGCTTCCCCAATATAGTAACTTAAGCTAAGTTCTTTTAATCCCAATATTCACCCAGTTTCCATTGCATTATGCATGTTCTTTTCCATTTGATTCTCCATTATAGGGGAGAATAGACCCTAACTTAAATTAAGTTCCTTAACATCAAGCCCTAAACCCGAAATCTAAAACCAAGCTCGTTAACAGCAACCCAGTGACGCGAGGCTTCATAGACGTCCCCGGTCTGCAGCTTTCCGATCACCAGCCGAAGAGCATCCTCGTGGAGTGGGAACCGCGCAAAATAGCCTGGGTTGATGTTAAGGGTGTAGGGTTTAGGG